CCCCCAACCTATCTTTTTATTTATAACTCAGCTTTTACCAGAATAAGATACTAAAACTAAAAGCTAACTCTGTATACTGGCTATTCAAAATATTCATAGTACCATATAATCATAGCACCATATAATCAGAAGAGAACTATATCTTGTTATCAACAATATAATTCATCCCACTTAATAGCTATTTATTTTGAACTGTTTCCACTGAACAAGGATGATAGGAATTTATACTTTATTCTGGCACCTAGCATATGGAATGGAATGGAATATTCTTTATTGGCCAAGCATGATAGGACACCACGGAATTTGACTCCAGTGCATGAGCTGTCAATGTACATACAAATAACACAATGGTAAGCCATAGATCATAAATCATATGATTCAATCATAAATAATAAGTTATAAACAACTGATAAATCATAAGATACCAATAGGAGAAGGTAATAGGGAAGATGAGATGAAAAGAAGTGCGCTGCAAGGAAAACTGAAAAGATGAGTCAAAAAAAGACCAAGATGGCAAACTTTTTCAGTGAAAAGGCTGTAGTTAATTTTTAAAATGTCCGCAAATGGATGGAACTCCATCAGGTATATAAATAGGGATAGTTTTAAAAAAAGGTAATCAGGAAATTTTCTTTTTTTAAAATTGTGAAATACCTATTTTAGAGCTTTCACAATAGTTTTCATGTGTTTTTGAACTCAGCCAGTTTTTAGAGGTTATCGTTTGAAGAGCTACCAAGGACTGCAAAAAGTGGCATCACAGAAGGCAAATATGCCCATTGCCTTAAAACATTCATTAGTTTTATATCCCACAGTTCCTCTAGCTACTCAAGCTGTTCCCCACAAGAGCTTGGAAGTAGCTAAACCTGAGAGTGTGATTGGCCTGGCTTCCATGGATGACAATGGACTTGAAATTGGATCTCCCCAATTCAGCACTTTTAACTGAATCATACCAGCTTTTAGACATTATTTTCTCTCTCTCCTGCATGGCTACGGAATAGCTCAGGGGAATAACTCCTGACCAAGATGCAGTGGCTGAAGTATGAACTCAAATGGAATGTACAGTGTGCATTGATATTGATTTAAATTGTGTGATTTATTGGACTGTTTCCTGTTCACACAGAGGTACATAAAATGCTGAATATATAGGATAAATGAAAAGGAAACGGTACCTAATAGATAAGCTGCATAGAAAAATAAAGTCTAAAAGATTTATGTTGGTAATCACACTGAGAAAGGAAGTTCAAGATCGTTTGCTTATTAGGAATAGTGAGTCAGTGAGGTAGAAAGTAAGATCTCTTAAAATATGTTGTGTGTAACCTTAAGTGGACCCAACAAAAGAGTTAAGAGGGAAGAACTCATTCTTCATATCAGATATCCTTTATTTTAATAGTTTCTTACACAGTTTGCATCATATAACCAAATTGAGAAGGAACTTAAAAAAAAGTCAGATGGTGACATTAAAAAAGTCACAGGGCTGAAACAGTAGTAAAAATAAATTACAGCATTGCAAAAATGTATTTAATTTGCCCACATAAAAGCTTTCACTAATTCCATTCTATACAGACTGTATATGTGTTTGTAGCTGACCATTCTGAACAAAAATACACACACACACACACACACAAACAGATGCAAGCAACATAATATACTAAACAAAGGCACTGCTAGCAGTAGTCCGCGCTTTTTAAGTAGGGGCCTCCACACCTAAGGCTTCTGTTCTACCACAGATCAAATGGCTCTGCATTCTCTCCCAATCTAAGCATCATCTTTTTTTCCCCTCAGCTTAATGCCCCTAGTTATATAATATTAAAAAAAAAACACCCACCTGCCTATATACAGGAGGGTTAGTCAGCAGCATTAACATCAATTGCATAAGAAGCCATGCCTTCTATAGAAATGTTCAAGACATGCCAAAGGGAAGAGCAGGAAACAGTTTTCCTCCCTCTTTGATGAAAATAAAACAGAATATATAATATCCCTCTTGGAGAGAATATCTTTAATGACTTAACAAAACTGGCTTCACTCTTCCTTTTCTCTAATTATGTAGACACAATAAACTCCTGGGGTTTCACATTTTTATTTCATCTACAGTTTCTGTGTAGTTTTGCTTCAGCATGAACTTAGTTAAATTTTCTCCTTGCTTCTCCCATGTGATTAATTTCTTTTAATTGCAAGATACACCTCTATACATAACCCCACAATGCCAGAGTTGGAAACATCTTTTCCCCTTCATATGCCCCCGCCCTCATATGCTTAAACAATCTTCAAAGAAGGCTTTGTTGGGTTCTGACAACAGATTAACTCTTGGCCTAATAAAATTAGAATCTTGGTACTGGCTGAATTATCAAATTAATGTAAGAAAAATGATCCTGTTTGTTTCAAACAACAGGCAAATATTTGCAAAGCAAGGAAAGGGAGTCTTGAGTTTGCTCAGTCAGCCGAGTCAAGACAATTTACATACTGGATTAAATGGCTCATGCATGCTTAAGCTAGCCCTCAAAGGGGAAATGCATGAATCCTAGTTTGACTCGATGAACTCTTGTTGAAACTATACTCAGAAAAGGGTGGAGCAGGAAAAAATGAAGGAATCATTGGTCTCACCCAATCTTATAAACAGGAGAATAATGTCTCTTATTCTACACCATCTAGCAAACCGCAGCCACTCCAATACCGGCCACTCCAATGCGAGACAATCTAATTCATTTGTAAGCTGTGCTTGACTCCCCCACAGTTGCCATATACATTCCCAATTTATCCATTTCTATTATAAGCGAGTGCATAATTCAGAGTCGTGTTCCAAATATCATCTTGCAGGAGTTGTTCCCATACACCTGCAACTACAACAGAACAGTCAAACAGGAAATTCTATATAACTGTAAGAGTTTAGTTAACAGTGCCCATGTTTTTAAATGCATTGCCCATTTTTCATAATATTTGTTCTATTGTCACATTTATTTTTTATTTCTCAAGTTTAGGTTTCCAAAACAGAAACAGAAGAGTCAGCTATTTGGAACTTACACCTTTAATCAGGTGGCATGATCCTGCAAAGTGAAAGAGCCAGTAAGCTGAAGCAGTTGCAAATTGCAACTCATTTTCTATTATTTGAGTATCAATAGCACCTCAGATTATTTCTTTTCAGAGGTTTCACATAAATTCTAGGATTATACGTGACTAATGCTTCCAACATATATTAATAAAGGTAACTATAACAATCAGCTGCCAAAGCCTTCAGAACTGATTCTGCATTAGGGCAAAGGGGGTTCCAACAGTAGGGCTATGCCACATCCTATTTATATCAGAATCCTAAAATCAGAAGGATTTTTTTCCTCCAAGAAATGTCCTCTTTCTCGCGTCCACAGCTCATTCCTGAAGCCATGCTGATATTCTGCCACTTCCTTGGCAATTGTTCACTTTGTTTTTCTAGTGCAACAATACGTTTAGCATCTTTTATAATGTGTCTCACTTGTAGCAGACTAAGGTTCTTCTGTTTGCTGATGGTTATGTGGATGAACTGACTACAGAGAACACATTTACTACACATGTCTACTGCACATAACACAAATCCACAGGTGAGGTATCAGGATGGCAGGAAGGGAAGATAGCCATTTGAGTCCAGCCTTAACATTTGTACAATAAACCAACCAAATAAAGTAGACATTCAGCATCATTGCAGGGTTTCCAGGCAGTACGACCATGGAGAAGGAAAAGCAGCCACCACTTCTGGTACTAGAGAGTCAGTTTCCCTTTTCTGTAACTACCAGTTCTAAGCAAAGCTTGGGTTACAACCAAACAGAAAAGTGTCCTGAGAAAGAAAAAGTTGTTCAGTTTTGTTTCTATTTCTTTTAAATATATGTAATTATTTATTAAGACTCTAAAATTGAGGGTTTTTTTGCCAGCCATACTTGTTTATCCGGGCTTCCCATTTGCTTCTTTCAAGGCCTCTTGCAGTCTTTGTTTAAACTTGCTGTATTTTTTTTGCACTTGCTGGATTTTGTCTTTTTCTTCCCTTTCTAGTATTACTAGAAAATTCTGTAGCTCTGGGATAGAGAAGTTGTCCCACTAAAGAAGTAAACAGAGAGGGGGGGGGGAAACGCTATTGTAACCTGCAAAAAATGTCAGTTGCAACAAGTTTAATTTGCCAGAAGAAAACCCGTCCCAAAATAATGAATCCTTTGTAATCCTACTTTCCCTCAAGTCATGAGCTTGCTACTCTGAAACTATCAGGATAAATAACAGAAACTACCTGTAGGAAAGATTATACACATGGTAGTTGTCTAACTTTCAACCATAAAAAGGTCCAGATGTGCAAAAGATGATTTTCTAGACCAGAGGTCTCCAAACTTAGCAACTTTAAGATTTGTCTTATTGCCATCTGGCTCTCTGGGAGTATCACACACACAATTCCAGTGTGCAAGAGAGAGAGGACCCAAATTTATTTATTTTGTAAAAATGTACAAAATCCTTTTTATTGTAAGTATCCAGCAGGTAAACTTTCAATTTCAGTTATGAACTAGACCCAGCTGTCTACACCTTCTTTGAATTTCAGCGATAAATAATGACTAAATAAGTAACTATAGTCTAGAACAGGGGTCTCCAACCTTGGCAACTTTAAGGCTTGTGGATTTCAACTCCCAGAATTCTCCAGCCAGATGGCAATAAGACAAATTACCAAGCTATTTCTATGAGTAAAAGCTGAGGACATTATCTATAAACCCAGAGGGTTTATAGGAAAGAAAGTTGATTTCTTTCATCATCAGCCAAGAAATTCTCCTCTGGGAACTTCCAAACAATCCATATTTAAGGAATGCATCTTGAACTATTATTTCCAAGGTTTGGAAGACTGGCTTATTTTCAGTTTGGAAATCATTCCTATGACTCAGAGCTTGGTCCTTTATTTCTTAGTCCTGTACTTCTGAACCACAAAAGAATGTCTTCATTGGGGCCTGGTTAATCTGTGTTCTGAAGCCTGAACATTTAGTTATATATAGCTGGATTTTAAACTCTTTCAGTACTCTGCAGGAAGATTATTTTGTCCTGTGTAATTAAACTTTTTTAATCAGGTTTAATATTTAAAAAGGGTAATTAAATGAGACATGAAATGCCCTTTGCTTCTGTATTTGCTTTAATATTATACTTATTTTGGAGTACAAGTATCTAATTATGTTTATTATAAGAACTAATAAGATGGAACAGTTGCTTTTCCACCCACTCGGATTCTCTCCTATAGATTCAAATCACTGCTTGTGTGATGTGGTTCTATTTCTGTGTGCCTTTGCAAGTTAGGAATAATACAAAAACTACATAGCAATCAGACCTACCTCAACGTCTCCTGTTTCATTTTCCTTCAACACAAAATTCAGAATATCTGTGTCAGGGCCTGCTAGGAGCCGGAGATACAAAGGACATTCTGTGACTGGAAGCTTCTGGGAAAGAACTGCAAAAGATAAGGCAACAAAAATCACTTAGGATCTTTGAAAAGAAACTGCAAATTTCTTCAGGTTTGCACATGTAATTATAGCCAGGCATATGCACAGATCCTCTAGGAGATGGCTGTCAAACTCGTAGCCTGCAGGCCAGATGCATCACACACTGGCCACACCCATGCCCATTTTAGCGAAGGGGAAAAAAGTCCCAATACATCACATGATGCCACAAGTTTGACACCCCTGCTCTAGAAGAATAGATAGAAAAGGCTGCAACTGCTTCTCATTAAGGATTTTCACTCTTCCTTTATAGCAATTTCAAACACTTATAAGTTCATTCTTCAAAATTGGACATGAACACCAACTGTTTGCCCTTACTGAAAGTCATCATAGGAAAGAAAACAACTCTAGGTTAAAGAATTGCAGAGAGGTATAAAGTGGAAAAACATGAGGTTCAATCATGGGCCCTGTATCCTTTTTTTTTTTTTAACAGGAGGAAGAGAGGGAAGGAATGTTTACTAATGTACAGATAACACAAATAGAAAACAGAAATAAAATTTAAAGTGATATTTATAGGTTAGAAAAGTGAACAGATAATAACCAAACTGAATTAATGGCAATTACTGAAAAAATGCAATTAGAAAACAGATGTAAGATGGAGGATATCTGGTTTGACAGTAACATTTGTAAAAAGATTTTGGAATATTAGTCGACTACAAATTGAAAAGAAATTTGCAGTATAAAATAACTACAAACAGCCAGTTAGCTTAGTTTTGCACCACATTCCACTTCACAATCAGATCTCCCTCCAGGTATCATATATTAAGGACTTGGACAAAATAGATCTAAATCAGAGAAGAACAATGAGAATTATCATTGTTTATGAAGAGAAACTGAAGTAACTGGAAGTACTTAGCCTTCAGAAAAGAAGACTGCGAGAGATTCTCAATCTTCAAGCTTCAGGAAAAAGATTCCTATTAAATATTAGTTAAAAAAAAAAAAGTATAACCAGAGTGGTTTGGCACTGAAGCCATTGATGTGAAGGAGTAATTCATTCCTTTTCGGTATGCTTTAATTTGGGTTCCTTAAGGGCTAGATTCAATTAATGGGTTCAGCATAAATAGCTGCTGCCAATTCTATGATTCTAATCTAAATCAAAATTCTGTATTTTTAATGGATGCAGTTATTGACCATCTAACCTAGCAATGGTTGACCCCTTGTCTAAAACTTCTCCATTTATAATTTTGATATAATTTTAATTGCAGTTGTCATAAGGTAAATCTGGGAAACTATGCTTGAGCAGCAAATGTTTTCATTGAGATATAAGCTCAGGTAAGGCTATAGTTATATGGTATGTCCTTATTTTAGTTCTTGTAACTCCAAATTAGGAGGTCCCATGCTGTACATGATTATCCCTGCCCATTACAATAAGATTTCTTTTATACTGATCTTGGACATTGACTATCCAAGGTGTTTTAGCAAGCTTCTCTTAAAGCCTGCTTTAGAAGGTTGCCTACGTTAGAAGTCATCCTATATTGGATTAGATACTTGTCAGAAATTAAGCTTTATAAACAAGTATTTTTTTTCTCCAGATACTATCCCCAAATGAGTAAGTTCTATGTTTTCTTCATTTGGTACATTAAATCCAAAATACAACATGGAGAAAATCAATTTAACCTGATGTGTACTCTAATAAAATCATATTTAATTCCAAGAAAAGTGGAACATGATTCCATTCATGTTTCTACCAAAGACTATGAAAATAGACTTGAAATTTTTGATCTTGTATTTGGATGTGTGCCATGCTGTGAACAAAATAGAAATAAAGATTCTATAGCAGGTCCCTAAAACTTCATTTTTAAGGCTTTTCCTATGTAACTTTCCAATAGATTTATTACTTTTTTAAATAAAAGTTTTAACATATTGAAGTTTATTCTGCCCAGAGCTAACATAGTCAAAAGAAAGCTTGATTCGATTTAACATTTTTCTTTATTTTCTGCTCTCTAGTGCTTTTCCTTAAAAAAAAAAACCTAATCTTGTTCTAATGTTTGCACTTATTGTTTTAAGAATTTCAACTTTTATTGTATAATTTTACTTAGCACCGATTTGATTGCTTATTGTTTGACTGGTTTGGGCTCATCAGCTATAGAGAAGACTGATATAACAAAAAAACGATGAGAACCTGGCAAACTTATTAGGGAGCAGAGCAGAGGCAGCACCTGTGACAGACAGCACAGATGTGTTGTGGCCTCTCGGCTGCCAGCAGAGCTAGCTGCAGTGTCAGACGAGGAGGTTGAGGGAGAGCCTGGGCCAACTTAAGGAAACAGCATCAGAGATGGAGGCAGAGCTGGGGCCTTCCATCTACCCCCCAGGTGGAGAGGCAGCTGTTTTCAGGGCCTGCGCTGAGTGAGGGGGGGGAACAGATGGGGCCTATCCCAGATGCGCATATGTGCAGAGAGAAAAAGAGAGGAGAGCAAAGGAAAACAATAAGCTGACTATCAATGAAAACAAACATGGACACTAGCCAGCCCTCCCTGGCTGGGAAATAAATAGTAGGGGTTTGGGAATAGCTAGTTGTCACAGACAACTGTTCGCTTTTAGGGTACAGCAAGCAATTTGGATTTCTTGGCCAGGTCTGTTGGAAATAATTATGTTTGATTTTTGTTTATCCATGTGAATAAAAGACTATTCCAATCCTGTTTCAATAGGGGTTTGTTTGTACTCACGAGTAAGCAACTTATCATTACTTGCTAAGGCTGAGTCAGAACAAGATGGACTTCCCTTGCGTAAATTGTCACTTTTAGGACATGAAGCTCTTTGCAACTGTTATTCTGTATCTTTCTCACCTTGACCATCTTTCTGCATCTGTTTGAAAAGTGCAAATTTCTGTGGGTTGTCCACCACCATAAATTTCTTCAGAAGTCCCTGGATCACCTCACTCACAGTTGTTGTGCTGCTGATATGTAACTGTTTGATGGCATCCAAAGGTAGATAGAACGATGTTCTTTTCTCTGTCATGTTAGCTAAGTTGACTTCCTTGAGAGCATCATGAATAGATGGTGGCCTAATCCCTGCTGGGACTGTCACAGGACGCCTCAGTTTTAGGTGCACTTTGATGAAACCTGTGTAAGTGTCATCATCATTCTGGGGATTGGGGAAAATGAAAAAAAAAAATAGTTAAAGGCAAATTATCTTTTCTTTGATCTCTATTTCCTAAATGACTTGGAAGAAGCAATTCAGATTATTTTTCTGAAGAAAATCTGAAAGTTTTTGCAATCAAGCAATTTCTAAAGCTAACGTACTCGAGCTATGTAATACCCTGGAAGCTCCACATACGATGACATTCCACTTTCTGAAATATTTTCACAAATACTCTTCGGCTGTTCCAAGCAGCTTCAATGTGTGAGAGAAATGAAGAAAATAACCATTCTAATCACCACTTTAGCTTTTTTTTAAATATATACATAACATCCCCGTCTTTAGCATCACTGTTCTGAAGTTAAGGAAGTCACTCCTAGGAATGGGAAATTACTTTGTTTATTCTCTTTATTTTAAATGGAAAGTCTATAATCAGGCTGAGGGACAGTTTTGGCAGTGACATAGAAAACCAGATTAAAATTCTGCTGAATTGAATCTCTCTTTATGAATGGGAAGACTTGTTAGTACTACCTCATTCATCCTACCATGACATACCGTATATACTCGAGTATAAGTCGACCCGAATATAAGCCGAGGCACCTAATTTTACACAAAAAAACTGGGAAAACTTATTGACTCGAGTATAAGCCGAGGGTGGGAAATGCAGCAGCTACTGGTAAATTTCAAAAATAAAAATAATTAATTTGGGAAACGATCTCACTATCATGAAAGGTTTAATTGATTCACTAACCCAAAAAAAGAAGAAGATGATTACAGCGGGAGGCAGGAGTCACTCTCTTCCCCTCCCTCGGAGGCCCCCTGAGTCAGGAGTCACTACCGCCGGCGCGGCCCCAGTCCCGCCGCCTTGGGAAGGGAAAGGCAAAGCGCTTTTTGCCTTTCCCTTCCCGGCTGGG